TTCAAGAAAAATTACGGAACATTTCACGTAATCCGCAAGCGAGAATCGTTTTCAGTGAATTTCTATAGGAATATAAGAGAATAAATCTGAAACGTTCAGTAAATTTTCGGGTCTGTCACCGAAAAAATACGAAAAAGTCACGTAATTTTTCTGGAAGTTGTAAAATCTAACAGAAACTTCAAGACTTATTATGCCTCAGAACATGAAAATTCTTGGATGTTTAAGAATTTTTACGAAAAGTTCCGGAAAAATTACGGATGTTGTTAAAATCTCCCCCTCACGGTGACTCATGGCTAGCCGTGAGGCGTCGGACGGATGAGTAATTTTTACGGAACAGATCGTAGAATTTACGTGACGATTGACACTTTTTATTAAATTTTACTTCGCTCCCAGATTACGTTTCGAAACGTAATTTTTGCGTCTTTTTTCTGGTAATTTTTATTGAATATTTCTCTCCGTGTATCACCTCGTGTGAATGATCCATCTCTTGAGCCAATTATTTCGTCGTTGTTGAAAACAGAGCCATTACTACGCTTGAAACTGTCTAATTCAAAGTAAATAATTTTCTTTTTGGTTATTCTCAACTTGCGATTTATTTTTTCGATCCAAAGAAGACTCGTTACAGAACTTGTTCGTTTTTCTCTCAGTGTAACCTAGAGTACAATTCAGACCAAAGACTGAAGTGAAAAATAAATATTAATAAAACATTCAATTTTCGGAGATACGATGATATTTTGTGTTTTCTAGGCGCCGGGCATGGAGATGACTTATTCACAATTTTTCATGTATCCATATTCGATCTACCACTGGATGCTGACCATCCTTTTTCAAAAGCAAGAAAGCGAATGGTTCGGATGATCACAAACTTCGCCAAATATGGGTACAAATCAGTAGTGAAGTGGTCAAACGGTTTAATTAAATTCCATTCCAGCTCCAGTTTTCGATGAATATCTTAAATTCTAAAAGAGTTAGCAAAATTTCCCTAAAAATCTTTTTTGTAGAGAAAAGTGAAGACTATCGAAAGAGATGTTACAAAAATTTCGATATCTTTCTTAAATTCCGAGTTATTTAACAAAAACTCAACTGGGAGCTAAATCGACTTAAACCGATTGACCATTTCACTACTGAAATGATGAACGATTAATTATCATTCAATTGCACCGTCTATTGTTTGATAAATTCACATGAAATGATCTGTTTCATCTCCACAATTGGACTTGATCACCAAATGATTACGATAATTCCAGAAATCCCACCCCTGATGGAACATCAGATCCTGTATTGAATATCACGTGGCCAAGGGCTCCTGGAAAATATATGGAGATCAACGACCAGTTGACAATTGGCGATAGTCCGCTCAACGAAGATGCCAAATCAATTCAGAAAGATTTGTCTGGTTTAGTTTGGGATGAGTTCAACGGTTGTGATCAATCGCAGTCGCGATGAAGAACAGCAGATCGAGGAAACTCTTATATGCAACAAAAATGTGTTTGACGCCCATCTGAATTTCAGATGTCAAACGGAAAACAGATGTCTGAATCATCATTGTGTTTGAAACAGACCTTAACAGTTTTCTCTTTAAAAAAATTTCAGAAGTTTATTTGTAGGTACCATTTATTATGTTAAATCTTACATTTACTACCTAATATGAATATTTAATCGCAATGCGTTCGATATTTCCATACTATTTATAAGTCTTGTAATTGGCCTCAGCCGTCTTGACTTGAATGAACCGTAAATAAATAAACTATAAATAAATATTACGTGAGAATATGTAGAGGGCGCCAATAGCGTTGCAATGCTTACAGCGGTCCGGACGCGACAGGACTGATGAAATAGTCACGTGACCATTTCTCGCTTACATACCCCACTTTTCATTCTTTTATAGCTGTGGGCGTGCTCCGCCGTACTTCTCTTCTGGCGCACTAATACCCAGACGGTCCTCCCACTTGCCTCACACCGATACTCCTCATTAGCGGTAACCGGTCAAAAGATCCTCGCAAAGAGATCCCCGATCATTAGATTCCGATTTTTAGATCCCTTGACAATTAGATCTCTTCACAATGGATCCGCGTCGAAAAGATCCCCGATTTTGAAAATTTGGGAAGGAGTGTGGTCGGGATTGAGCTGGATATATTTTTGATAGTATTCAGAATTCTTTATTTAATTTCTCTCCTTATTTCATAACATTGTAATGGACTTTCAAATTTCACTTATATAAGTCAAGTTTGCATTGTTGACGTTAATAATTTAATCATGATTTACATGGTCACATGATCTGTTATATTATTTGCTATCCCTCGTAGGTAACTTATTACTTTTTTCTTATCGTACCTCGTCACGAGATTGTAAATCCTAGCATCAATGTCTCTGTATTTTCTCTTCTTCGTTGGGGATTCCGTTCTTGCTTCAATCTGACTGATTTTTACGTCTGGGATCTTTTTGTCGAGGATCTTTTTGTTGAGGATCTATTTGTTTGGGGATCTATTTGGAGGATCATTTTGTAGGGGATCTTTTTGGCGGAGGATCTTTTGACCTAGAACCCTCATGAGCTGCGTTCCGCGATGGGTTAAATCAGTCTCGTCCCTACGCTATTGCACAGAAAAAAGAGGAAATACGTCATAATAATATAGTTGTCCATTACAGTAGGACTACTATAATTTCGACCCGACGGGGGAACGAATTCCGAGATGTCGAAAATAGTCGGCCGAGCTCTCATTGGCCAAGCGCGCGTAGTGGGGAGGTCAGAGAGAGAACGCATTATGTTGCTGTCTTCGGCCATTGGGCAACAGTGAGTACATAACCCAAAAGTATATTTTTCCCAATGATTGAGGTTAGGGAAACACTTGGGAGCATAGGGCTATGCGCCCGGGAGATGATGGGACCATTCCGTAAACGGAAGGAGTGGGGACTGAAAGCGCGAGAGTGAGTCCCCCATCAAGAAATATATAAAAAATATATAATATCGACCAATTCCATATGTTTCGAATTTATAAAGACTATATAAAAAATACATATAAAATTATAGTTATTCATTTTAAAATTAAAATTAAAATTATAGTTATTCTTTTTTTTGTTATATGGATTGGGAAAATTTAAGATATTTTTTACATATTTTTAAAAATATAAATTTTTTCATGTGGCGTATCGACTATGTCAAAAATATGTCCTTTCTCCGAATACCTGAGGGCTGCCGCCTCGCCTGCCAGTAAACCAATTACTGTCTCCTCCCTTTCCAGTACCTTTATTCCTACTTCCCCCCACCCCCCTCGTCGCAGAAGACCTAGAGGTCTTTGGCATCATTCAAATTCCTTAAATGTTGTCTACACCTTCCCTCAGCAGTATCATCTCGCTTGCAAAAGATACTGATATTTTGTTGAACTCAGATTTCGTGGTGACGTACGTCGGAGTGATTTTTGTTTGCATTATAAATCCAATAATTAAAATTTCGAATAATTTAATCGCCGGCACGATTCAAAATGACGCCGACTCGGCGTAACTGTGACGAAATATACGAGACAAGGGCAGAAATAGTAAAACACCGTTTCAAGTGGATAATACGAGAGTTCTCCGAGATGCTTCAGAATCCAAAGAGTCTTCGATGTGAATTCAGCATATCTGGATACCCGATGAAGGGATTTTTGGAGCTCTACGCGGTGAATGCCAGTGCTAAATTGGCACGTGGAATCAACGATGTTGAGGGTTTGGAGTTGGACGTTCATGTGGGGATGAAGGAGGGCCCAGTGCGAAGCATCATGGAGGTCTCGGTTCTAGACTCAACCGGATCGAAGTGCATGCCGATGAGGAAGAAAATTGCTTCACACATACATTACGTTCTGCCTTTCAGTCGACAATTCGCAAAGGGTGAATCTCTGTTACCAAATGATACTCTGACATTGTTATTTGTCGTCAACATAACGACGGATATACTGACGAACCGTCGGGACGAAATGGTAATGCCTCCTGTGGAGAGCAATATAAGAAGAGATGTGACGAAACTTCTCGACAATCCGGAATACGCCGATGCGACGATTACCGTTGGAAACAGAAAGTTTTTTGTCCTGAAGGCCATTCTAGCCGCCCGCAGTTCCGTATTCGCAGCCATGTTTGAACACGGAATGAGGGAAAGTCATGAGGGCAATGTTGAGGTGACTGATTTGACTCAAGAAGTCGTTGAGGAGATGTTGCACTTCATCTACGCCGATGAGGTGAAGAGGCCTGACTGCTTCACGATTGAGCTGCTGTATGCCGCTCAGAAATATGATCTGAGGCGACTCGTAATGCTGACCGGCCGGACACTCCTGCATGATCTCGCGGCGGAGAATGCTGCCGAGAGGCTAGTCATCGCTGATCGCTTCAATCTTAAGGACATCAAAGAATTCATCATTCGGTTTATTGGGGGTCAGACAAAGGCTGTGATGCAGACGGAGGGGTATAAGACAATGGCGACGGAGTATGTTCATCTTGCGCTGGAATGTTTCGAAACAATGACGCTTGAATAGTTTTTTTGTGGAAATTTTTAGTTTTCGTTGGTTTTGAGTGGATGCTTTGTGATCGTTCAAATTGAGGTTTTGTATTTTTTTTGTTATATAAACCATCGTGATCTGGAGTCTGAAGTGCAATTTTTCAACCCTGTCCGTATGTGTTTGTACACTGGGAGAAAAACAACAGGGTTCTAACAGGTCTTACTTATGCCAAAGAAATATTTGTTAAAAATTGTCAAAAAAGGAATTTTATTGCAGAAATAAATTTAGTCTTTTCAAAAAAAATTATTCTTTGTGTAAGCAAGAAATGTCATTTCTAGCACTACTTCGTTATTCGATGCTCACATACATATTTTGCTCGCGGCAAATACTCGTTTTATATGAAACGAGGGATAGTAGTTTATCGGCTTGACTGTTCAATAATCACAGACAAGAAATGAATTCTTAAATGAAATAATAATAATGATTTGACAGCAATCCTCTAATTCAGGGATGAAATATTTCTTAATAAATTTCTCTCTATAAAATATATTTTTATCATGAAAAAATCCTCTTGAGACAGACATTTCGTTGTTGTTGAAAGCAGGGCAATTATTCACGTACGAAAAAATTCAATAAAAAAATCTAACGAACCCGTTAGAAAATTCTGTTGGATTTCTATTGGACTCTCTATTAATTTTTGGCCGAGTCTATTGAAATGTTCGATAGAGAATATTCAATTGAAAAATCCATTAGAATTCGATTTTTCTATATAACTTATTCTCTTCAGATATTTTCTATAGAACATCTCCTCGGCTCCATTTTTTTTCATTCTGTTTCTTTTCTTCTCGCAACAAAATCAAATAAAAAACTTGGAAGATTTGAGCCGAGCAAATTCTATAGAAAATATGTCAAAAGAATAAATTATATAAAAAAATCAAATTCTATTGATTTTTTCTATTGAACATTTCAATAAAATTTTCCAACGAATTCGCTACGTTTTTCTATTAAATTTTTTCATTCGTGTTCATATTCAAGACTTGCAAATTCCAATCAAACCATTATTTTTTTGGTAATTTTAAACAAACAATTTTGTTTACCCAAACAAGACTTGTTTGAGAACGTGTTCATGTTTCTCTCAGTGTATGTGCTGAAGTTTCACGCATGAAGAAAAAATTAGTAAAAAACCTAGTGAATTCGATAGAAAATTGTCCACAAATGTCCAATGGAAATTATTTTATAGAGAAACTCAGTAGAATTTCATCTTTCGATGTAACTTATTCCATAGAAATTTCTCGACATGAATTTTCTAAGTTTTTTTCCATTCGATTTTTCTATTATTTTCATTAAGGAGAGACTATTATGATTAGTGTAGTGAAGTTGAGTAGTGAAGTTGTCAATCGGTTGAAGTCGACTCAGCTCCCAGTTGAATTTTTGTTGAATGGTAAGTCGGAATTTAAGAAAGATAGCGCAATTTTTGTAAGATCTTTTTCGATAGTCTTCACTATTCTTTATAAAAAACATCTTTAGCAAAATTTTTCTAAAGATCGTTTTTATAAAGTTTCTTATAAACTCCTTTAGAATTTGAGAACTGGCGCTAGAATGAAATTGACTCAAACTGAAATAGTAGTCTCCCCTTAAAAAATCTTAGAATAGGGTGAATTATTATTCTAATTCAATTCTTGCAGTTAATAAACGAATTTCTGGATTCCCATCCCCAATATTGGAGTTTTCCGATGATACAAATTCTTATTCTTATATCCAATGGGAAACAATATTTCGAAGTTAAAAGAAAACAGTAAAAAATTCATACAAAAAATGAATGACAAAAAAATACAGTTAATATTTCCATATATATTTTCGTTATGTATTTACAATTTGACAACAAAATTGTGAAACGTAACACGTTGGAGCCCTCTTTATCGGCCGGAAACGGGCAACGACGGATTCGAGGTTGAAATTTGGCCTTCTAAAATCGTACTTTATTTATCCCTCATAATTTTCACTCTCATCTCTCACTCGTATGATTAATCGTATTAAATCCATTATTATTCCGGTTTATCGACGTCAAAAGGCTCACTTACGCCTCGAATAATGGAAATATATAAAACGACCTAGAGCCCATTGAGAGTTAATCCCTCTGACAAACCATAAGTTCACGTATGCAATACTCATTATTATTATTAATTCTCACATTCTCATTCGCAATTATTTGGATTGTCCATATTTATAATGATATCTTAACGTCACGCATTCCCTTCGATCGTAAGCATTCAAATTATAGTACATTTCAAATATATCTCTGCTCTTAGAAATAAAAATGAAAAGAAAAACTGAATTGAAACATTTAATCTTTCATTCATATCATAACGCTCAACTTTTATTTACAACTACAGATATCTCATACTTAAGTCTTTTACGTAATTATTAAAATTTTTCATTGCAATCAACAGCCGTACGATTCCTTCATTATTCTGTGCAATACTTCAACTTTAAGTATGAATAATAATAAAGTTTGTGGCAGTGGAATTATTACTCTACTCACTTAAACCCATTTATTTTTATTCTTTTGAGCTCACCATTGTTATCGTCTCCCTCGTACAGTCGGCGCAGATTCTTTTATTTACAGATACATTCGAGTTATGCTTTTTGACGTCGATTTTAGTATTCACCATAAAAAGTTCTGATCCAGGGTGAATCGTTAACGCCCTTAATCAATGCAGTACTGTGATGTTACTGGTCAACTCATCACTAAAAATTCAGTAGCGAAGAAAAATTCAGTCAAACGGTTCAAGTCACTTTTGACTATTGATCAGTTTTCAATTCATATCTCAAAATGAAAGGCAGATAGCGAAATTTTTGTTATAACCTTTTTTGTAGAGCGATTTGAGAGCTACGAAAAAGGTAGTTACGAAAATTCCGCTATCTACCTTCGATTCGGAGATATTTCTCGAAAACTGAGCTGAGAGCTAAGTCGACTTAAACTGTTTTACCGCTTCGCTACTGAATTATTACGTGGATAACTCATCAAACGGACATTCCTTCACTTGGACAATTAGTCACATGGAAAATTTTTCAGAATGAATCGATAAAAAATACGTGAAGTGAAACGGTGTGTTTAATAAATAGGGGATTTCATGACGCTGTGTGTAAAGTCAGTTTTTATGTACGTAAAACCCCATTTCACATGCATTATATTTCAAGACACTTCACGAATGAAAAAATTTAATAGAAATACCTAGCGCTTTCTCTAAAAAATTCTGTTCAATTTCGATTGGAAATCTATGAGAATTCTATTAAAAATTTAGCAATTTCTCCCCACGTTTTAGTAGGGACAATAGACATTTGTTTATAGAAAAATATCTATAGATGTTGATTTTTCTATATAATTTATTCTCCTGGGATTTTTTTAATAAGAATTTTCAGGCATGATTTTTCTAATTTTTTTGTTGGATTTTATTATGAGAAACGAATAAAAATACAGCGGAAAAAACTTGGAATACTCACGCAAGAAATAAACAGAATTTTTAAATAGAATTCTAATAAAACTTCAAGCGAATTCTTATGGATTTCCAATAGAAATCCAATGGAATTTCGTCGATAAACCATTAGGTTTTTCTATTAAATTTTTTCATGCGTGTGTCATTGAAAGATTTGATAAATTAAGAAATAGTTAACAATTAGACGAAAGTCGCAATTACGATAAGACCGCCGAATAATATCAGAATAAACAGGGTTTTCATCATGTCCAAATATACTATTTCATAATTGTAGAGAATATTTATTAACAGCATCTGACTTTGAATTCCCAGTCTAATAATTGAATATCAAATGAATTCCGGAATTTTATTTGAGGCCAGTAGATTTTTCGTTAAATATTTCAATAATATTTTTTTCTGCACTTCACGAATGAAAAATTTTATGTTGATTTTTCTATACAACAAATTCTGTTGGCATTTTTTCTATAAGAATTCTTGGGCATAATTGTTCTATGTTCTTTTCTTGGATTTTATTATGAAAAACAAATAAAAATACAGCGGAAAAAACTTGGAAAATTTACGCAAGAAACAAACAGAATTTGTAATAGAATTCTAATAAAACTTCAAGCGAATTCTTACAGATTTCCAGGAAAAATTCAACAGAATTTCATAGATAAACCGCTAGGTTTATTGTAAAGGTTTCATTGTAAAGACTTCGTAATTTAGGAAGTAATTAAAAATTAGACGAAATTTGCAATTATGATAAGACCACCAACTAATATCAGGATAAACAGGATTTTTATCGTGCCCAAATATACTATTTCATAATTGTAAAGAATTTCTATTAACAACATCTGGCTTTGAATTCCCATTCTAATAATTGAATATCAAATGAATTCCGGAATTTCATTTGATGCCAGTAGACTTTTCATTAAATATTTTAAAACTTTCCTTGCACTCTTGTTGTAAAGATTTGAAAAATCAATTAGCAAAATAAATAATAAATAAGATGTTAATAAATTAGGAAGTAATTAAAAATCAAACGAAATTCAAAATTATGACAGACTTATGCCAAATTAAATCCGCTTTTGATTAATTATTTCACTCATGTCTTTTTCTTCACTTTCATTGTATAGATAAATTTAACACGTGATGAATTGTCCATATGATAAAATGCGCTGTCAGTTGTCGTATAATAAAATGGAATGACGAATTGTTCCGCATTGATTACGCTGAGAAAAAAAATTGCTTTTGCCAAGTATATTTACTTGCCACAACTAAATGTATATAAATATCTGCATAAGACATGTGTAAATGTTCTTGTGTTAGTAAATATACTTGGCAAACGTAATGTTTTTTCTCTGTGTAGTGATAGAACTGGAAAAATCAATCATATTAAATAACACTTTGCTCAATGAACACTAGAATTGAATTTCCCTGGTCATTTGCAATAGAATTTTCATTCAAAAGTGATAATTAGCTGACAACATTTTCAGTGAACACTTGTCTTCTTCATTCGCGTAACGTCAATCCATTTTCTCTTAGAAACAGTTTAAATGCCTCTCCTCCCATCAATTCACCGTCTCCAACTGGAATTTCTTTTTCGTACATCTCGCCCATTTTACCTCGAAAAACGACAAATCGTTGCGGCAAAGTTTATCCTCCGGTACAAGACAATTCCCCCAAGATGGAAGAGTAAAAAGGGGGCAGGGGGGGAAGAGAGGGGGGAGTGGGAGGTGAAGTGGAATGAAACAACTTGAGCTTAAATAGTCATTAACCGCAGGAGAATAAAATAGGTCGGTGTGTTGAACAAGAAAGAGAGGGAGAGATACTGTTTGCCATCTGCAGATTGTAACTGAAGTGAAGGGGGGAGGGGTTTATTCTCTCTCCTCCCCCGAACACAACGAGTAGCTAATGTTCATTGTCTGTACGAGTGATCTCAGTTGTTTGTAAGTACAAATGAAATTTTCATTTTTATCCCCCGGCGATGATTTTCATTGTTCACTATCGTTTTTTGCTCTTTCCATTTTTAAAAATTGAACATTTGAACGGAATATCTTCTGTGGTCAACTAAACTGCAATTATGAATGGAAAATAATAAATGAAAAAGGAATATAAAAATGCGCACGTGTACAAAACTGCGAGTGGCAAATTTCATTGGCGCTTGTATTAAATTTTAAACTGTAAAAAGTCGTCATTCTTATCCTCAGTTATGTACAAGGAACATCTAACATCGTAGGTTTAATTCTCATTCATTAAAATTATTTATACACGGGTCGTGATTCATCATTACTTCTTTTTGAGCCATGTGACATCGTATAACACCTAAAAAACATTCTCATTATCTTTCCCCTCGTATTTCATTCTTCCATTTATTATTTTGTTATCTACCTTAGAGTTACGAGTTTTTTAATTTAAAATGCTGTGATTCTCGTCTTTGATTTGAAAAGTTTTATTTTGATTTTTTAAAGGTTTTTTCGTGGTGATTTTCATCTCTCAGTCACAAAAGTTGTTGCTAATTTGTCTTTATCATTTGATTTTTCAGTTAAAATTTTTCGATTTTCGTTACTTCGATCCCACCGTGCTGGATGAATTTTTCAGTCTAGTTTTTTTCGTTTTCTTTCTCTAAAAAAATATCAATGTTTAGAAATAAGAGTAAATGAAAGAATTCTCCAGTGAATTGGAGAATTCTCTGATGCTCGACATAATCGAAATTATGGCTCTATCCACTCAGTGAATGTGAAAAAATAAACATTAAATAATGTTACGATTCTTCAATTGGGAGTTATCAGTCCCCTCCTCCTGTCGGATGTAAACGTCAAAATTTTTTAATGAAGTGAAAAATTTATCTCAAACATTTCATCTGAGAATTTTCCCATTGATTTTGACATTTACAATAGCGATTACTTTAAAGCAATGTCGATGCTGTTAGTACATCGGGTACGACTGGTCTCGGAGGGGACTCCATACATCACACTCTCATTTCAGTCATACTGCCTTGTGTAACGCGATTAATAATATTTCCACTTTGCAGCAGGGGTTGATTTTCGGGTGGGCTTTTGGTCCTCGGTGGTGGTGGTGCTCGTGGAACTGTTAAGTGAATCGAACCGTTTGGTGGACACTAAAAATCAAATATTGATTAATTGTCATTAATAATTTTCGTGCGATAAAACGAGACAAGTCAATTCGACTCAGTGAGTTCAATTTAATTTTCATGTTTCATCGACACAGAGAAAAAGAGTTTCTGGTTTTTAGTAAACACGCACAAAAAAATTTAATAGAAAAACCTATCGAATTCGTTAGGAAATTCTATTGCATTTCCTTTAAACTTTCTATAAGTTTTATAAAACGAGACAAGTCAATTCGACTCAGTGAGTTCAATTTAATTTTTATATTTCATGGACACAGAGATAAAGAGTTTCTGATTTTTAGTAAACACGCACAAAAAAATTTAATAGAAAAACCTATCGAATTCGTTAGAAAATTCTATTGCATTTCCTTTAAACTTTCTATAAGTTTTTGGCTGATTTTATTGACATGTTTAATAGAAAACATTCAATAGAAAAAGTCAACAGAATTCGATTTTTCTATGTAACTTATTCTTTTCATATATTTTCTATAGAATTTGCTCGACTCAAATTTTTTAAGTTTTTTCCATTCTATTTTTCTTTTCTTCTCATCAAGAAAATCAAACGAAAAAACTTGGAAAATTTGAGCCGAGAAAATTCTATAAAAAATATCTCAATAGAATAAGTTATATAGAAAAATTGAATTCTATTGACTTTTTCTACTGAATATTTTCTATTGAACATTTCCATAGAATCGGCCAAAGACTAATAGAACAGTTCAATAGAAATTCAAAAGAATTTTCCAACGAATTCGATAGATTTTTTAATGAAATTTTTTCGTCCGTGAAAATTTCTGGATTTTATGGCTCTGTGGTGTACGGTAATTTAGGGGGCAAAAAGCCCTGAATTTCAGTGAAATATTCCGTGCTTTGTTGGAAATTTTATGAAATTTAGTTACTTGTTCAATAGGGGAAAAACCGTGAAATTTCAAATTTCACTGGAAATTTACTGCAGTTGAAAATTTTTCTATAGTGAGAAGATGAAGATTTCTGAATTTTCTTGATTTTTTATTAATTTTCGTCAAACGGTGAAAATGAAATTTTGAGTTTCCATTGATTTTTCAATGAAGTTGTAAATTTTCATTGATGAAATTCCTTCAAATTTCAGTGAAACTAATTTTCTAGTAACGAAATATATGAAAATTTCATGTGAATGAGGTGTTGTTAATAATTTGCGGAGTCATTTTTTAACGGTGTATTGTGAGAGAATTTTTTCTATGAATCAGAGAGAAAAATTCTAACTTTCGGTATTTTTTACTGAAATAAAAAATCTAAAGGCTCTTAAAATAAAAGCATTCAAGTATTACGTCATTTGATTAAGAAGGATAGAAGGTTCTGTGATTTGTGATGATGCGTGAGGTTAATTTAAGGTATATCCCTAGAAAACAGGTTTTTCTTACGATATTCTCCAGCTATTGAAAAAAATTCTAACTAGCTGTACTATATAGTTTAGGAGATAATGGATAATGGGTAATGAAAAGCGGGCTTCTAGCACGCGAGGCATAGGCTAAACGGGGGTTATGAGTCCCCCCGGAATCGATTTCGTCATCTTATGAGAAAACGGTTCTTACGATATTCTTAAAAAACTAATCTGTGGTAGACTGATAAATTACGAATACGGTGATTTTGTCGTGAAATTTTATACACTGTTAGAAATTTTTTGAAATTTCATGGACGATATTATAGTAGATCTCATAAGAGTGACATTTAATCGGATTTAGGGAAAAATGGTTATGAAATTTCAAGTTTTAAGTAGAATTCATGGGAATTCATCAGTTTTCAGTGAGAGTGAGATGGAAATTTCACAACTTGATTGAATTTTCAGTGGAACATGAATATTCAGAAACAAAATGACATGACATTTTTTAATTTTTCTCTGAATTTTCTTGATTTTTCTGAATTTTCACAGAATTAATTAAACGAAAAAATCAAGTATTTTATTGATTTTTAGATCATTTGAACAGAAAATCAATGAAGGGCTCTGAATATTCAGGATTTCAAATTTTTCTCATATAAGTTAATTAACAAATATCATGATTAAAAATGGTTCAATCTATAGTGGGGTCTGTACCAAACTGTAAAAGATACTTGGAAATCCTTAAGAACCCCAAGGTTTTAGTATTAAGAACCTCGTGTTTTTTTATTTCAGTACCCAACAGTTCTGGAAACTCGAAACAGTTTTTCTCTGTGAAAACCAAATTGCAAAATTCTTTTATATTCAAAACGAATTGTTCTTCAGAATCATCTCGTTTCACAATTTCGCATCTGCTTCACCAATTAAAAAATCTCGAAAGTGATGCGAAAGAGATGACTCAATCAAGCATGAATGTTGCTCAAAGAAAATACACCGATGAAATACATAAACTCATTTATTTATTTCATATATTTACATACAATCGTTGATTCGTCATGTCAACAACCTCTCAATACAAAATTACCTGGGATTGCATTCCCATATCCTGAATAACAGATGCTCTAGGCAATGTGGCATGTGGTGTGTGCTGTTGCTTCTGATAGTGATGCTGATGAGGCAGTGTGTGAGTGCTCTGGCTCTGAAGAATTCCCGGGTCGTTCGCCTTCATTACATTTCTGCATATAAAAGATAAAAGATAAAAGAGATAAAAGAGAAAGAGAATGAAATAATTCATCAACAACCCGAGATGACTCTGATTAATTAACCACCAATTGCTGAATAATAAAATTTACCGCCTGAGCATTTCATTCTCAACATCAACAATAACTTGGCCACCGCTCGTGAAGTGTGAATGGGGCGGTGGTGGTTGCTTGAGCTCGGTGAAGCCTCTCGGGCCACATTGTTGATTCATCATCTGCTGTTGCTGAAGACTTTTAACTTCTAGTCTCGTTTTATCGCGCTGATAATAAACACCAGCGAAGATAAGTACATTGAGGATTAGGAGGCTACAGCCAATGGCAATTGTCACACTCAAGGCTGTCGAGTAGGCAGCATATCTGCAATCAAGATGACGAATTGTGAAATTTCGGTAATGTGTGACAATACATGACTCCAAACTAATTTCAATAATTTATAAATCAAACTCAATGGTTTATCAGTACAAACAATGATACAAATTCCAAAAAAGTCGCGCTCCATCACAGAGGTCTAATGCCTCTTATGTATGGATTTTAATTGATTGATTACAACAGCTATAAATGTAATAGTGATGTGAGTACTAGGGGACTATGTCCCCTGCTCGCTCCGCACGCCAACTCCCGTATGACTCAATCTCACCCTCGTGACCCTCATTCTGAACATCATTATACCCCTCATGACCGTTATTGTGACCCTTCATTTCTGAACCTTAATTTTGGAGTCTTACTTTCGAGGACCAAATTTTCATCACCAAAAGTAGATTTGAATTTCTACAATATAGAGAGGTATTGAGACCCTTGTGACCCTTAGTTTCGAATCCCCACAACCCTTATTTGGACCCTTACTCTCACTCTCATTATAACCCTCGTAAACTTTATTTTGATCTGGTGATCCTCAGTTTCTAAGCTTTGGTTTTTGACCTCTATGTCCTCTGTAGAGGAAATATATTTGGACCATTACCTCTGACCATTTTGACCCTTAATCTGACCTTTGTGACCCTTATTTTGACCCTCATAACCCTCATTCTGACCCTCATGACCTTTGCGACCCTTAATCTCGGAGTCTTAATTTCGAGTATCAAATTTTTATCACCAAAAGTCGATTTGGATTTTTATAATATAGAGAAATATATCCTCAGAGATTTTACAGCTATTTTAGACACAATTAATATGTGATATTTTACTGGTTGAAGGATTGCGGAGGAAATGTTCGTCAGAAACTTTCAGTCACGTTGTCTTAGGGTTGTCGGTGTTGTTTTGGTTCTTTTTGTCGAGAGCCGATGAGAATCATCGGTCCATGCTTTTTTTTGAGAAAAGGATTCCTCACAGAATGATATCCTCACAAAATTGAAAATCAGGTTAGCTCTTACCAAAAGCATATATCCCTCCTCTTATTGTTATTCTTAGAGGAAGAGTATATGCATAAAAATCAAGTCTGAAATGATAAGAAAAATACCTAGAAAAAATTGGTCTTCTCACATTTCATCTGACTGTATAATAGATCAGATGATCTGGAATGTTTAATTCAAAAATGAATATTTGAAAAAATTACCCAGCCACATCCAAACCCGAGAGAGTATCCGGGCTGCTTGCATTATGTACATTCTGTGGATTCGTGCTGGGAATTACGCTGATACAGGTGGTTATGCTGTAATCCGTAGTTGTCGGCGGTTCTGTCGTGAAATTTCGTCTTCTGTATTCCTCCCCTATTCTACTCAGTGGATCAGGCCGCACTAGACCATCATAGAGATTTGGATCCCCATGGCTACGAAAGAGATTGTGCCGCGGCTCAACGTCCTCCATTCCTGCGCGATGCAGCTCTGGTATTAGTCGGAGCCATACTGATAATTGGTGGGCGCGAAAGTGATTCTTCACCGTTGGTTTTTTTGCTGAAACAAGTTCATTGAAAATCCATGATTATTTACTATGATCATCTAGTATTTAAAGACAATTTCCAAGATTATGTTTCTGAATTTTTAAAATCTCACGCACGAAAAGATTTAATAGAAAAACCTAGCGAATTCGTTAGAAATTTCAGTTGGATTTTTATTAGTTTTTGGTTTCTATATAAAGTATTCGCTTCAGATGTTTTCTACAGAATTTTCTCGCCTTAAATTTTTCAAGTTTTTTTTCAATTTATTTTCAATTTCTTCTCATCAAGAAAATCAAACAAAAAAACTTGGAAAATTTGAGGCGAGAAAATTTTACAGAAAATATCTCAGTTGAATAAGTTATACAGAAAAATCAAATTCTATTGACTTTTTTATTAAATATTTTCTATTGAAAAAATCGATAGAATCGGCTAAAAACTGATAGAAACGGGATCTTATAGAAATTCAAAAAAAAATAGTGGAAATGAAAAAAAGTCGCCATTTTCCTGGAATTTCGCACTTCGGTGGACCTTCCATGGAGGAACATAAAAAAAAATCCAAGTGGCCTAGAAGAATTGTTTAGACAGGATAATCAAAAACTCAGTAAAAATAGGAATTGGAAACTCATTAAGAAACTCATGAAAAAAATTGGAATATTCGCAACTTGCAAAAGCGACAATGACAAGGTTAGAAATCGTGGAGGGATCAGCGCGGCAAATACGAATGGAGTTGTGATGATACATTTTGCTATGGGAAGGGCATAACATCTGAGTGAATCAGTGCTGCCAACTTGTACCCGAACGGCACGGCGTTGTCACTTTTTCTATCCATATTAATTATTCTCCAATTATCCAAAATCTAAGCTAGCAAAATAAAAGAAGGCTTGAAATATATGGCAAAAAAAGAAAAGTTATTAAAAAAATATTTCGAACACAAAACCGGTCGAAGTAGATTGAAAATTTGCAATTGAAATATCGTTTTTTTGTTCAGCGATTGGTTTTCTGCGAGAGAACAATAGATTCCCCTCCGTCTCACCTCCTACGTTCCCACCCCGCCATAAATACCTTAAATCTACAGAATGAAGTAGTTATCTGCGATAATTATTCGGAATGATATTTCCATCAATTTCAGTTGTGCCCATTCAACGCCTCAAACCAGTGAATTAACAAGAAATTTCATTTAATTCCGAAATGTATGTTTATTCGTTCTGATGAGGTAGACAAACATCTCGTGGATGTTGATCTTAGCAGCGCGGTGTCCAAACGGTGAGTGGTGAAACTGGCCGAGAGTGGTGAGGGTATCTCACCCCGGGGTCGAACAAAGACGAGATCCGAAGGAATCGCGGGTATAACCCTCTGCTAGCGAGTAATTACTACCTACGTGCTCGCAAGCCCAACAACTGAGCAATCTTCCTTCGCTTCTCTGTGAGTAAAGTTTCCTGAACCCGATCCAAACTTGGACGGGTGAAGATCATAGCCTCAATCTACGCTATAGCGGGGAAAACGACGGTAGATGGATTGAATATGATCCGATCCCACGAACTTCATAAATCAATCCAGGATTTATCGATATTCATGATTTGATGATGCAGATGGTCAATAATGTACTCTAGTGAATTATTTTTCACGTCAATTGTCAGTTTCCGTTCTGTTTCGTTCAAATTTTTTCGTTGGTTTTATTCCAATGTATAGGTTTTTTAACAACAATTGTAAGAAACGATCACTATAACTTATTAAGGTATATTCGAAGACAATACCATCCAAAAGTTAGTCGAACCCCGCATTTCATTATTCATTATCTCCTACAGTGTGTAGTACAGCTAATTAGATTTTTTTTTAATAGCTGAAGAATGTTATAAATATTATCTATGGTAAACATGGGGACAATCGTAGAAAAAAAATCAATTTTCTAGGGAAATACCTAAAATGCTAGCCATTGCATACACACAGAAAAACCTAAACGTAAATTACGCTTGAGAAAGCGTTTTTACGTTTTCTGACAAATTTTACGCTCGACGTTGAAGCGTAAATTTCGCTCAACATCACCGTAAATTACGGTTACATGAACGTAATTTACGGTTTCGTATTCGTAAATTACGATGATTTCCTCCGTTTTTTACGTTTACCTATCCGCAGTTGACGACGAAGAAAAAAATTATTTGAAGCGCAAAATATATATATTTTTTTGTAAATTGCGCATAAATAAGTCGTAAAATATATTTCTATTAGATCGAAATTTATCGCTTAGTGAAATGTAAACGAAGTTTTGTTTTGGCGTAATTTACGTTTTTATTCGGACCGTAAAATACACCTTTTTGAAGTCCAAATTCCGACTTTCACGACGGAAAAAAGCCAGCAGACATTATTTACCATTAAACATAAATTACGTTTAGCAAACCGCAAATTACGCTTAGCAGAACATAATATACGTTTAGATTTTTCTGTGCCTACACAGTTAGAAAATTACTCTTGAAATTTCAAGTGAAAAAGCTTGAAATTTTTAACAATGACAAAGTTATATAAAATTTCTGTAGAATTCTTCATTGACGAATCAGTTGATTTTTTAAATATTCAAGTAATTCTCGATTTTCAGGTCCATAGCGCACTGAAAAACCTTGAAAATTTGGAAAATTCAGACAATAACTCCTCTGAATCTTCAATCTATTAAAAATTGAATTGAATGTAATGTTCAATTTTCACGATGAGTTTGGAAATTCAAGCTTTTATTGAAAAAGCAATGATTCTTTAACATGAAAAACTCAATTTTCTTGAATTTTCAAGATGAATGAGAACTTTAGTACACGTTTTCATTTGAAATTTAATTCAAACTCACAACATTGAAAATTCAGATCATATTGTGACTGAAATTTCAAGAAATTTCGAACAGTGTAGCATTCTGAAATTCCTCTTTAAGAATCCATGAAGTGGTTTAAAGAATTGCTGAAAGCTGTCCTTTTCATGAGAACGTGACCATGAACGAACCTAAACAAAATTGCATTTGCAATTGCATTTTACAAATAGTGAGAAACTATGGTGCGACGGTATTTGAACGATCCCTACAATAAAATGATCCGAAGTTTTATAGATCATTTTTCTCCCACTTTTCTCTCTCCACTGAGAAAAAAAATTTCTAATATCTGAAACATATTTTCTTGAGACAAGTAAATATTGTCTTCAATTGCTTAATTCTCTCAGGCATCTCAACTCACATGACCCGAGAAAGGCCTCATGCGTTAAAATATTCTTGTACTCAAGTATGATTTTGTCGCAAATGAACTTACTTAAATCGCATAGAAGAATCGTCAATCTTCTAGTCTTTATTGTTTTCATGATTTTTTCGTTATGCACTTCCAATATTGCAATATGTAAAATATTTATGACGTAACGCTCAACGATAGCGATGAATGAAAATTTATTCGAGTTCCGTGAAGTGCACACATTCTGAGATTTAAGCCATTGAAAATAATTTACTTCTCTCAAGAAAATATGTTTCAGATATTATAAATTTTTTTTTCAGTGTGTGCATTCACCGCGAAGAAAATTCCGCGATGAAATTCGTGTCGTCGTGAATAAAATTCCCGAAAAATCAATGAAATTAATCATTCCCTAGACTCTAAAGCCCTCCCCCTTAAATCAATGAGGAATTCAATAAACGAAAATCCGTAATCGTAACTGGCTAGACGAGATTAATGCTCTCCTCGTTTCAGTTTTCATCGAACAAATTGGGTTTCTGCGGGCCGCGCGAAGACGTTATTCGGGATCACCCGGAAAACGGATGACGCTAGGCGTCTCCTCCGCTCTGCTGCCTACGTGCACTAATCCCTAACGTTATTTGCCAGTACATAGCCCCCTCCCCCCATTATCCGCGGGAATTAAGCCCCCACTGGTGCATGATGGGTCGGGATGTGAGAGGGCCAATAGTACCATCCTATTCATGTGCCTATAAACGTCACGTACGGAGGTTGAAATACCTCAGCCCCCTCCCCACTTGATTGGGAGGGACACCGATGATTTATCGGTTCACATGCAGAAATCGGTATGTGGTTAACGAGTGATGGTGTTAGCCAGCGTACGTGCTACGTTAAGGATTTTGCTATAATGTATGCTGGGAGATTACGTGAAAACCTCGTGCTTTGGATCATTTTGCTCTCCTTCATTCCGGGGAATCGATTATTCGGGGTTAAAGCCCTGTGAGTGATTTAGGGGGCATATTTCTCGTTGATGGGGCAGGTTATGGAAACTACAATTTTATTCCGACAATGGAAATTATTTTAATTTTTTATCGGAATTAATAAGGAAATGCCTTTTTTGATTCCGAATGCACGGAGAGAAATTTTCTAGAGAAATTCTAGTACGAGTACTGGAAAAAATCACAATCCACCGGCTGTGAAAAATTCCCGTTTTCCCCAATAAAATATCTAGTGCTGGCACTGGAATTTTTCCCTGACCGTCACTCTGCGCCTCTTTTAACCGTGTGAGCACTAGAATTTTTCTAAAAAATTTCTCTCCGTGTGGAACCTTTTTAATCATTCAAATTTAAGTTTTGGATTCTTTGTGTTGTATCGACTCAATATGATCCAAAAAGCCCGAAAATGCAATTTTTAGATTCCTCTGTACTGTCAATCGCCATTATTTAAAATTTAATTCATGGATTAGTTTTTTAATTTTCGAATTTCTTCGAAAATCGGTTGTCTCACGATAACTAAAACAAAATGGTCTGAATTGATTGAATGATGGTCTAAAAAATTTGTTTGAATGTCCTTTTGACCGAGTTCGAAGATAAATTGCGATAACAATAGTCGTTATTTTGATTTATTTAAAAATTTGCAAAAATTTTGTATTTTTTAAAAATCAGAATTCCGGGGATATCTTTGAATCTCATGCTTCAAATGAATTCAATCATACTTCAGAATATTTGTTTCAGTGCCATTAAATCGAACTTAAAAGATGATTAGGATAGCTATATTGGTTGATTTGATTTTTATGATGATTGTTAAAAATTTCGTATCTGTCATGAAT